GCGCAAATGGCGTTGACAAGTGGCGAAGTGGTTTGCAAAACGTCGTACGTTCGACATTAAAAACCGCTAAATCATCCTTTCCCACAGCCTCTGCCAATAACTATGCAATGCTTTTTTCGGTTTGCTTGTCTGGTCTGTTGGACATTAAACTGTGAAAATGGATCAGCAGAAGTATATGACGAGCTCTCGCAATAAACGCTTTTTAATGCGATAATATATCTGTAAGAATTTTTGTTCGTATTGGCATTGTTTTCTAGATCCCTTTATTTGGCTACCCATATTCCTTCAGATAGAATTTAAGTTTGGTGTGTTTTTTTGCTTGGTTAAGTCTTTCTCTTTTTGCCTCCTTTGAGTAAGTTGTGTAGCTCTCAACTGCACTTTTTCCACTGCACTTATTCGGCCGAAATATATTTTCACAGGGCTCGACGGTAAGTCAAAACAACATCAGGGTCGACACGTTATCACCGCGCCAATCTTCAAGTTCAAGCTGAGGCCAAAACAAAGCAAAGTTTTTTTGACAGAACTTTTCTCCACCAACCAACGCATTGCAAATTAACTAGTTTTACTTACCTTCTGGGCAGAAGTGGAAGATGGTTACCAAACAGCCAGAGACGTTTCTCTCCGAACCATTTGTCCATAGACAGGCATTAAGTGATTGATCAGGATTTTTTTTCAATGTGCGTTTTCACCGGAAGGCCTGTGTAAGTGAATCCTGCATCCTACAAAACTTAAACGGGCTTATTTTACACGCGAGATGCGAGACTCAAATTCGCGTCCGTTGGCGGAGAATTATTAACAAACTTTGTTTATGAGCGTAGTCCACACCGTAAACGTAGCCGGAATTTTTTATGAGCGCCGGCATTGAAAACGCAGAAGACAATGGGATGGAGTTTCCAGGGGGAAGGCTTGTTGGGGTGTTCGTGACGGTTGACATTGGCAACGCGTTCAGGAAGAAAAGTCCGGCGTGGAAAGCAATGGGGGTTGCAACCAGGGTTGCTTTCCTTGATTTTCACGTTATTAATAGTGTTGTTATAGCTCTTGCCGTTGTTTATGTTTTGCGTTGTCAATCTGTTGTCATTAAAAACAAACAACAAATTTGAACAAAGTTTGCGCATTGGTTTTAAAAATATTTCCTTTGCACAGCGGCATTATACGAAGAAATCTTCTTGTATGGATGTCGACTCCTTTGGAATTACCTTGGCAATTACGAAAACCATCTAAGATTCTACTTTACTTGGTTGCAGGTATTAGAACCTAATGCTAATTTTTATCAAAAGCATTTAAGAGAATGTTGCTCACTGCGTGGCCGATTGGAGATTATGGATATTTATATAATAATTGCCCGTTTTTCTTGTATCGCTTAAAACTTTGATTATAAAAGAAGTGTTACTGCATCCCAATATTACTGGTTAATGTTAGACAGGATAAAGATAATTGTAAAATTGTATATAAATGTTTTTATTATATGTATATTGAAATATGATAAGAAATTAATTTCGAGGGTGACACTTCCGAAATTGTATGGATGTCAGTAGCCTGATTAAATGAATCATTTTTTAGTAGATAAATGTATATCAAAGAAATGATTTAAAAGCAATTTTCATTAGTTAGTCTGAGATATTAAAGGACATTCGCAATCACAAAGAAAAGCCTTCTGCGTTAAGTGAAAGCTTCCATTGAATTTACCATAGGTAACAACTCTTTCGGAGTCGTGAAAGCTTTCATCGGACAAATTTAAGGCTGGCAACGCCTTGGACATTTAACGGTTGCCAAAGTAACGGCAACCCCACCGCCAACCAATACATAAGCATCACGGAGGAGCGAAGCACACATAGAGACCAAAAGCCGGTCAGCATATGCAAAAACTCTACACACAGGTATTCCGATGCATTCACACACGTGTGCTTACACATACATTTATTTTTCAGCGTTGAATGCGCTTTGCATTTTAAGCTTTCACTCTTTCTTTACCGTTGCTGTTTTATTCTCGTTTTTGGGGGGATTTGTTGTTTTTATTCTTTGCGATTTCATTGTTTTTCAGCGGCAACGCAAAACAAAACACGAAAGAATGGCCGAAATGAGATAACCTTTAAAAGCTGCTCGTATGCTAAAACTAAGTAACGGCATTAGAGCCAAATGGCAACCAGGACATATAGGTAGACCGACTGCAAGTTCACATGTGTGTGTGGGTAGAAGCCCAAGTTGTTTGGAGCACAGCAACTAAAGCGATTCCCCTCAAGTTTTTAAAGTTCTTTCCGATTCTTAAACCTTCTACACCCTTTCTCTATATTAGCTAAACTTTTTTAATACATCCTAATTATTAAACGTACTCTATTATTTTATTGTTTCTCTCCGTTTTATCACAAAATTTTAACAAGACTGGCTTTAGATTGAAGGGTATCCGGCAGTTGGATCAATCGCTAAAGATTTCCCACTTGTTTTGCTGTGAGAATATCGTTGCCCAGGACAACTGAAAAACGGCAACTGGCAACTCGAAGCCAACAACAAATGCAAATGGCAGGTTCGCTCTCTCTGCTTTCTCTCTCCCTCTCACGTGTTACAAATGAGTGCAATTGTTTTCCGTGTGCAACAAATTTTTTATGATTATTCCTCTTCTTGTTGGTGGTGGCTGGGAGTCCTTCCAGGATTCTGCCGTCAGCTTTAAGTTGTTGCTAAATTTGGGTTTTAGATGTGTTCTAGAGAGCAGGAAAAGGAAACCGAAAAAGAAAGAAAGGGGCAGGAGCGAAAAGCTTTAGTAGAGCAGGATTAACACCTGTTTTGTGTGCAGCGCCAAGCCTCAAATTTATTGTGTTTGTTTACAAGCTTTTTGCGTGCGCAAATTTCGTGAATTGGTTCAAGTTATGAGCGAGTTTTGGCCCTCATTTCCCGGGCTCAAGCCACGAATTTTGCCAGTGGCGACTTAACGCAGAATTATGGTGCGCCCAGATAATGTGAAAAGGAAAGTGCAGCAGGCAGCTTCCCAAGCCGCGTTTCGTTTGCATTAAGAGTGACATTCTAATATGCACATTCCTATGAAAAAGGGAAGGCCAACGATACCTGGGGAATTACTGTGGCAAAGCAGGACTTAGCGAGATGTGGAGTTGAGTTTACCAGAGTTCCAGAGTTGAAACTTCCAGGGATTTGTTCATGCAGAACTGGCGAGTGGCACAGATGCGATTTTCCCGTAACTTTTAAGGATTTAATCAAAAAAACAAAGACTATTGTAAACCGGTTATTTACTAAAGCTCTATTCAAAAACATTTGCAGAAATAAATTTTTACTTTACATTGAGCATTTTTGATAATACATATATAAACTGATAAAACTATTCAGCAACTTTATTCATTTTCTATGGGAGAAATTACCAATCAAACAAATCCTAAACCTTTTTTTTAACAAGGTTCAGGGTTCCCATTTTAAAAAGGTAATTTTGAAAAACATGTTCGGTTGCTTAATTGGTAAACACATCATCGTGGCGAGGTAGCTCTCATTTTTATTGTTAACTCGAAACTTAAACAAAGCAAAACGGATCCCTCTGCAAAAAACTTTCACTGAAATCCTCCGCCTTTCCCATCCCTCTATCCTTCTCTCTTTCTCTCATTCTCTCTCTCTCGCTCTTTCAGGTATTATAGCCACAACCTTGTGAAAAGTTCCATAACAAAATTTATGCGCGTAACTGGGCGTAGTGAAAAGAAAACTGCTGAAAAAGTACCAGTGCGAGAAAGGGACGGAAAAAGAGGCTCCGCAGTACAACTTTTAAATAAATTTCTAAATACTCCAGTTGCGCTTTCCCGCATTCGCCTCGAGACGATCGCGGGAAAACGTGGCAAAGTTTAAATGGCTGGAAAGAAATGCTCCACTTTCCGATGATGACGGGGGCTAAGGCGCTGGGTGCACGGAATTGGTTGGTCTTGTTGCCCAACACTTTTGACTTTTGCGGTGGCAAAGTTTTTTCTTGTACCTGGGCAAGAGTTTGGGCCCGAGTTCGAGTTTGGTCCCGCCTCCTCGGTGTTTGTATAAGAATTTATGTTAATAACTTTTCGTTTAAGTGTGCTGGCTTGCGCAAAGTTATGTTGGCTGATAATGGCATTGATAGCGTTGTAAATATACCACATATATATAGGTGTTATGCTCTCAGCAGCCGCCAAAACTTTCCGGGCCGTTCTTCTATTAAGTCAGTGTCTTCCGTTTTCCCTTTGCAACATGCTACTTCTAATTTCTTTATGGGCACACACTTTACAGCTTATACCGAAGTAGAGCTTGCAAATTGGTACTAAGGTCGGGAACTATTCGTCCAACAAAGCTTTATTGATGCCATTTCGAGCTTTAGCGTCCCTTTTACTCAAAGCTCACAAGCTTAACTTGGCTTAAAATAGGTTTAAAATATTAAATAAAACTTGATTTCCGAAATATAACAAAGAGGAATATTTTAAAAAAACATTTGTTTTTTAAATTTTAGAGAAGGTCAAAAGAGTTTTAAAGTACATATAATTATATTGAAGTTTCCTTAAATTTGTTCGTTTGATTGGTATTGCAGAGTTAGTAAGACAAGTTGAAATATTTAAGGGTTATATGCATATGTTTACGTTGGTGAAAATCAAATCCTATCAAACATTTTTTTATAGTTTCATTTTAAAAGGAAAGGTTTTTAAGTATGTTATGAAGCAGTAGAAGCCATTAAATATCGGTTTGCATCTTGCTCCCTTCCACTAGACTATAGCTATATTTCTGCCTGATTAGAGCGAATTCCGTTCGATATGCTTAATAGGCCTACTGAGCTTGTACTGACTAGAAAATGACTCCATTGGAGTCTGTTCTTTATGGCGTTAAATATCAGAGGTCAGAATTGGAGTGTTTAGACGAGACTCTGAAGTTTCTAAGCGAACTTAATTGCGAACTCGATATCAAAATAAGGTCGATATCTGTTATATTTATATAAATGGGGGTGCTGTTGCATGAGTATAAACTTAAATATATTTTGAAAACACGAAGAGACTTACCCTTCCCTCTGTTTTCCGGGGTTTAAGATTGAGAGTGGTGGGCGTTCGAAGGGCTTTTTATCTGAGATCATATATGCTGGCAATGGTTTTAAAGGTGTTCGTTGGAGCTTCAGCCACTTTGCGGTGTTATCGCACATCCTGAAATCGTCAAGCATACAAATAATGAGGTGCCATTTGGCTAATATGCAAGGAAAAATTTTACCTTTTTTAGCGCTGGTAAGAGCTGGTATTCCTCGGTACTCAATACTGCAACTTTGCCTCTTACCATCCAGTGTTCTTCACAATGTGGCATGGTCTTCTCTATTAAGTTTAAGGGTGAATGCGTTGATTTCAAAGTTGAGTTGATTTCGAGCCGCGATTGGTGGGATATAATGAGATCCTCATATTCCTCGCAACGGTTCCAACCTGGAGTCCGAAGGTCGTCGCATGGATCGTGTCCTCGGGTCAACGCCGGATCACTGTAATCGAACTCGGCAAAAAAGATCTGCGTGCTTGCTGTGAGGGGTAAACACACACACACACTTCGCTAAGTTCGGAGGTCTGGCATTGACTTCCCAAAGAGGAAAAACAGGTGAGAACATTTACCATCAATGACAAACCACGAGCTTCGTCTTGGCTTGGAGGAAGAACTGCTAAGGCTTTGTTATAAATCTAAAAACTTTTACTGAAGAGTTCAACTTATCAACTCGCCCCAAGAAAATAAAATTTAAAATGAAAAAGACCTGAAGATTTTGAACTCCGCATAAAGATATACTACCTAATGATCCTTAATTCTTTGAAAAGTTCATAATGAACATGTAGAGGCAGACGGCCATACACCCAACTTGGTGGATAGGCCTCTAGAAATAAACGAAAGGCGAAATAAAGTGGGACATCAACACAGCTTAAAAAATCAATCAAACTTAACGAAAATATAAATCAAAATATTTCAAAGCCCAGGATCCAGAGCGTCGAGTTTTCATCGCCCGGGACAAAAAAAAAGGGTAAGTTAAATCCGAATACCACAAACCGATGAGATAATTAAACACTAAAAACAGCAAGGAGATAACTGTCCACATATACGAGCCATTTCTTGCTTACAACAGGATGTTTAGGTATAATAGAGCTACAGAATCTAAGTACTTTCTGTAGTACTTGTTAAAGCCAGTATGCCTAGAGCCATCATTTACGCTCATTTCTGGTGGTCAGGTCAAGCTTTAAGTCACAATGCAATTTTTGGAATCAGATCTCTAATAATCCTATAATCAATCTCAATAATCATTATTAAATTTAATCAAGCATATATTTTAAAAGTATCTTAAGAGTATTTCCTAAACTGTAAAAGACCGAAATCGTCGTATTTTGGTGGGTTTTGGTGAGCCTGCTAGCCAACACATACTACAAAATCAAGGTTGTCACTCTATTCTAACAAAAGTCTCGTTGTTCAGACGAACACTAATGAGCTGAATGCGCGTGAGTTACCGACCAGTCGATAGGTAACGAGCCTCCAGCTAAACCCCCCAGAGCTACCCTGGAAATGGTACACTGACCGGGTGCCCACTTACTTTGCATTGCAATTATGTTGCAATCTAAACAACAGCCCAAACCGGGACAGCGACCACTTGAGTCGTTGCCCCACCGAAAGAATGCTGACACTGCAACAGGATGCCCCTACTTCAAAGCACTGGTTAGATGATACAAGCAGACGTTGGAGGAATTCTTTGTAAACATTCGTTTATTTCACTTTGTATTTTATGCTTAGGCAATCTATGTATTAGCGTATAAGAACTTATGTACACTCGGCAGCGGTGGCAACTTGGTCACCGCTGAAGAATATATGAATTCGGTCTTGAAAAGCAACTCAAAGGCTTACGTCTAATTACCCAAACTCTTCTTGAAATTTATAACTTGAAATATACCAACAACCAATTGGGGACAACCGGACTCTGGCAGACACCAATTTACACTAGGACTCCTTGGCAGAGAACTATAACTCGTGTGCATAAGGCTTGAGCCATAAAACACTATCTATAAAAATATAGTTATCACTTTAAGATTTGTACACACCAAAAGGTTATGTGCGGCGGTCAGAGGTAACTCTCCCGCTGTGATAGCAATCGCGGCCTCTGCGTAGGCCATCATACAATGATGGTTTCCTACAAAAACTCATCCGTGTAAGTGTCATTATTTTGGAGGCATTTACACTCGTTGTATAATCAATTCTTCTACATTACTGTTAAAATAGTTAAAATACACTAGCCCTTAAACATAGATGACTTCCAATACTTGAAAAGTTTTTTCAGCCAAAATATTACCACAAAACTGTAGACATAGTAAGCTTCATAGCAATATCTAAAATATTAACGTAATTAAATTTCTTAAGCCCGTCACAACGTAACTGAATCTATGCTTAGGCCTCCGTTTAGACTGCCACGCCCCTCCCATTTCAGGCATCGTGCTTATGGGCGGAAATTACAAGGCAATCAAAACATAAGCGCAACTTGACTGCTGTTTTGGGCCCTCTTCCTATGCAAATGTCTGTGGTCAATGTGCATACCAATTTCACAACACTACGCAATGCAGCAGAGTGCCGTAGAATCTGGCGAAAGCTAGAGAGGAGGGGTTGTCTTTAATAAAGATAACAATAAATATTCTCAATATTTAAAAAGAATCTTATAGTTATATACAAACCAAACAAATTGCGCTTTTGCGATTTTGAATTATTAATAATTTAGTTAAATAAGACATAAACAAGACATCGATTAAAAAATTGAATTCCCTAAAAACAAAAATATGCTATTAGCGGAGATTTTAATATTAATTATAATGTTGTTTTAAAAGGCTCATTCAGTATGAGGTGTTAAGTTTTTACAGTACTTTTCAGTCATAATATTGTCTGTTCAAGGGGTGTTTATTGGGCCATCATCTTCAGCAGCACATGGCCTTAATGACTTTGAGATGTGGGAGGTTTACAAGCTTGTCATGACGTTTAGGCTTATGTGCCCCAAGTCATGATTTTACCACCCAACAAAACTGTTGATGGATAGGTGTGAAATACACGTTTCAACTGGAAATACGTATATGTTCGGGTACAAATATTTTATACGTAAACTTGGCTCCTTAGTTTTATATATTCACCACGAGTTAACTAGCTTAGATCTTTTGAATTCTTCCTTAGGCGTTGAAACATATTAAATATAATACATTTTATAAATGCAAACCAACAGAATAGCACCTAACTACTTCGATTTATTTTTTATGCTAACGAAAAGGTAGCTCTTGGAAGCATTCTTCTGTTTTACGTTTCTGCACTGTTGCAGTTCAATCTACAAATTACATTCTACGGTAAAAAGAACCAAAAATTTCCCAGAACACATATTTGCCTGAAAGTTTCAACAGTCTGCAGAGGCAGGCCTAAACTACGCTTCGGGTTTCAGGCTCCCCGTCCTGCTGGCCAAACTACTTTTGATTACTACTGCAAGTACAATGAAGCCTCGCTCATTGGGTGCAGCAGGCAGTCAAGCATAACTTTTGACTCCATTGACTCCTCAGCTCCCCCTCAACCACCAGCAGTCCCCCATCTAGGCAATCCGTCCTGCACTGAAATTCGATAGTTTCGAAACATGGCGAAAGTTTGGGGAGGAGTCGAGTCAAGAGTTGCTGGTGGAGCGCTTATGCTGCGCATTGATTAAATTCGACTTAAATTGCATTACGCTGGCATTTGCGGGGATGGGAAGAGCATCGTTTTAGGCGCTTGTGCAGTTCCCACGACCGAAATTGGATTCTGTTAGACACTGCCTCAATTTCCAAGCGGCGGCGACGGCGACGGCGACGGCTTCCCTGCCACTTGTTGACGTCCAGGGAATGCGAAGCGGCTCCTCGAGGGGAATATTTATTGGTTTAATTGAGTGCCCCGAGCAGGATGAAGTTTTTCCATTCACGTTTTGCGGCATTGTCTCAGGCACTCATATCTCGTACCCCTCACCCAATAATTTACGAGCTTTCCTCCAAAATTTTCGCTTCAGCTCGAGCATGTCCGAAGTTTTTACTTCCTCGCGCAGCTCAATTCAATTTTTCCTCCTCGGTCGGAGTGCTTAGTCATCTCCGAACAGCTCAATGATTTCCGCATCCACTCCGGCCATAAAAAGCAGTGAGGACTTAGTTAAGATCTCGTGTGTGGAGCGAGTGCTCCGTAATGTTGGCCACAATGCTGTCATAACTGCGGCTCTACTTCTTGCTCTCCTCCCAAAGTTTTGTCTCCAGTAGTTTCGGCTGACGACCCGCCGCATTGTTATTTTTGTGGCCGCGTAATATGCCACGTACATTAGGAAATGTTAAAGTGACATAAAAACCAGAACAGGAAACAGCGCAGCAGTCAGCGACAACAATGTGACACCTGTTTTTGTCCGCCATTTTGTCATGCTTTCTGCGGCGCCTCCTTCGCGCGTGTGTGTGTGTGTGTGTGAGTGTGAGTGAGTGTGCATTTAGTGACATTTATGTGCAGCTTGGCGTTTTATTTTCAGTTCAATGCTCAGCGAAAATTGCTCATGAAGTGCACCATGACTTGCCTTTGCCGCTGCAGTGAGAAAAGTGCGGGCAGAGGAGTGGATATATCCCAAATTCAAAGGCCATTCAACTTCAGTGTTCGATTCGGTACATTTGGGATTAAGAAACATGAGTTCTTGTTTTCCAGATGTGGGTATTTAATAGAATTAAATGTTAAATAAGAAAACAGGGTATCATTCAGTTTCTAATAGTTCCTTCAGTTTTAGAATCTGAATATTGTTGGAAGCAGGTATTTCAGGTTCGTTGTAAGATTGCAAGCCTTAGGCGCTGAAAAGCTGCGAGGACGAAACAAAATTCGATATACCAACCTTTTAGTCCCTAATAATCGCTTTAGAGCTTAGAATCTTGCTTGCGTGTTAACAGACAAGCAGACCTAGGTAAATCATCTCTCCTTTTAATGCTGATGAAAACATATCTACTTTAAACAGCTGGAAGTATATTTCATTTTACAACGAAATTAAAAAGAAGTCAGCAAAAACTACATGCTACCTATGTTGGGATGAAAAAAGTGCCACAAATCTTTGCGAAAGTAAAAACAACTCAGCCTGGTATAAACGGAAAAAGTTAAAAAGACTTAAGCACCTTTAGGGGTAACCTTTCTTTCTGTGTACAGGGCATAACACCTTGAGCTTCTCTTCATATTTGTAGCATCTGCTTTGAGTACCCGCTCTTGGTTTCCGTCTCTGATTTGTCATGTGGTTTTCAGGTTCATCCTATCGCGGAGTCCCATAAAACAGTGTCGGGTGTTATTAAAACGTTTCGTGAGGAGGGGCCAGAAGCGAACAAGAGATGCGTCAGTGGGTATTGCGCTTGGCTAACTATTACTTTCACTTTTGTGCCGCGAGCGGATAAAATGTTTGGGCAAAGTTTTCCCCTCTTTTCTGCGTTAGCTGCCAGAAATAACAGCGCCTTGAATTATACATGGCGAAAGTTTTCCCATTCTAGGGCCAGAATTAGCTAATGAAACATAATCATTACGCAATAATTAGTGGCACACACTGGGTC